CTCGAGGCCGGCGGGGCGGAGCTAGAGACCGGCGGGGTGGAGCAGGGAGAGGCCGGCGGTGGGGCGGAGCGGAGCAGGGAGAAGCCGGCGGTGGGGCGGAGCTCGAGGCCGACGGAGTGGAGCATGGAGAAGCCGGCGGGGCGGAGCTCAAGGCTGACGGGGCGGCGTATGGAGGTGGCCGTCGGCGCGCGGCGTCGGGGAGGAGAGCAAGCGGGGGATAGGGATGGAAAGTGACGAGCTCAAGCCAGAATAAGCCAGTATTTTTGGCTTCTCGCGTGGGGAGGAATTGAGTCACCGGGTTTTGCGGGGCTTTTGCCGGCTTCTTGCCGCAAGCCGTTTTGCTTGTCGCCGTTTGGCAGGGCTTCGCCCAAAGCCGCTCGAGGAGCCGCGGCAAAAGCCCTGCCAAAGGGGGGCTTGATCAACAACCTCATCGTGACTGACACTTCCAGCAGCAGATACAACCTAGAGCAGAAAACAAATATATAGGGGATTAGATTTGGGAATTTGAAGCAACCTGCAGCTGGCTGCCTGCACTTGCAGGCTGAAGTTACAGCCGCCGTTGGCCGCTCCGTGCTGTGCTCCACTGCTCCTGGCGCTTTGCCTGCCGGTTCCTCGCTCCCTCAACCATCACCGGCTCACTGTAGGTCCGCGACCGCACACAGGGTGAAAGATGAGTAGATGACAGGGCCAGGCTGCAGCACCACATCGCCGCAGGCACACCGGGCGGTGGGCGTAGCCGCGGGACGCGGCAGCCGTGCGCAAGGGGAGCCCCAGCCGCGCAGAGGCACGGGGTATGGGTGCCGCTGAGCTGGGGCACCGGTAGCGCCGCCGCCTCCGTCGAGTTCGGCTCTACCCACGGCCATGCAAATCAATCTCTCGAAGCGGACTCGCCCACTCGCCAGGACCCGATTGGTGGAAAGTTATACAGGGTACGGGTGGGTGGGTAGGGAACTCTCGGTGTAAAAAAACACGAGCGAGAGAAGAGGAGAAGAGAGAAACACGCGTAAATGTTTACAAGTTTTCTGGTTGAATCCACTTGTCAGATTGTGGTAAAAAATTTAGATTCGTTGGATCTAAATTTAATGTAGATCTAAGTGACAAAAATTAAGGTGGGTAAGAATACGAGGGTGAGAGGCTATTTTTAATTTTTTTCGTTCTTTTATAGTATAGAATAGATAATAAAATAGTTTTTCATCAAAATGTGTGACGAACGGCGGCAACCAACGACGTCGCGATAGAAGATGATAGGCAGCACATCAACGAACGCCTGGTCGATGGAGCACCAGCAACAGATTCAGCCCATAAATGGAACATTGGCCCAAAAATAAACTTGAGCAACAAAATTTTTAGAGAACACGATGTGGAGCCAGAATAGGAAAAAGTCTATTTTACATGATCCAATGAGTATGAAAATTTATTTAGGTTTATACTTGTTAAATATAAATAAATCTATAACTAAGCTATACATGATCCAATGAATATGAAATTCTTACTACAGTTTAAGCATACAATAATTACTCCACCATAAAAATTTCACCACAATTGGATCATAGAAACTGCAGCTATGAATTATTCTATTTAATTACAGAAAAACATACATCTAAAGCTACAGTAAAAACTTTATACTAAAGCATACCATATTATATGTTTACTGTGTAGATCTACTCATGTGGAGTCCAACAAAATTGTATTTTCTATTTTATGATTTTTCTGTAATTTACTATGATTTTTTTAAAGATTCAGCCGAAATAAATAAAAAAGAAAAAGACAAAACCATATTCAAAATTGCTTATAACAGGGCCAGGGAGGTAAGATGAACGTTTTTAAAAGTTGAGGGAGGTGTTTTGCCCGGTTTTAGAGTTCAGGAAGAAAAAATAGACTTTCGTAAAAGTTGAGGAAGGTAATATGAACTTTTTCCACCAGAATATGATGATCTTTATCTTCCTTCGTGCCCAGTTTGGCAGCAGCGTTCCCCGTGGGAGCGAACCCAAGCCCGCGTCTAAACCTTTCACGGGCCATTTGCCGATCTATTTGGAAGCATGCCCGCGGCCAAACCAGCGTCCAGGGCCCAGCACACGCACATGAAGAAGAGCCACCACACCACAGGGTAGCACCACCTGATCTGGCCAAGAGGCCGACGAATCCGGCGAGGGGGCAGCAAAACTTGAAATTAATGTATATTTTCTTAATAAAACCTAGTCAAAGTTAGTGCCTGTTTAGTTCCCAAAATTTTGCAAAATTTTTCAAGGTTCCCCGTCATATCGAATCTTTAGACGCATGCATGAAGCATTAAATATAAATAAAAAATAAAACTAATTACACAGTTTAGACGAAATTTACGAGACGAATCTTTTAAACCTAATTAGATTATGATTGGACACTAATTGTCAAATAACAACGAAAATGCTACAGTATCATTTTCCAAAAAAAATCGCCAACTAAACAAGGCCTTAGAGAAATTTATAACTCATGACAAAGCCAAAAGGAGTACAACCTTTTGGGGTGGATGTGTACAATGCCTTTTAGGCCATTGAGCACCCAGGACTTGCATGGTGTGTTACAATCGTGCAGTCAGTTATAATTACAGCCTGTCAGAACCTAGTTTCAAACATTATACAAGCAAAAACTACATTGACCGTTCCAAGCAAAACTACATTGGCCATCCAATAGCTCCATCGTAGTCTTCAAAACTCCCTAAAAAATAAACTAAATTATTATGTACAGCACGCTGATTTCCAGCTTGTCCGAAAAGGCCATGCTAGTCATCAGATTGGCATTCTACAAATGATGCTGCGACTAGAAATCAAAATCATCATCATCAAAGCCATCGTAGGCTCCTGCACCATCGTCCTCATAGCCATCATCTATCTACCACCCCTATAATCTACCAGTTAGAATAAATCTACAGCCACACAACAAATGCCTGCTCCATAGTCATAACATATGATACATCCACACCCATGAATGCACCCAGAAAATATAACACCATCAAAACGGATACACCAGATTATCTCTTAGCCGTTCTCTCTCATTACTCATCCAAATCCGACGGCTCATGTTTAGTGTGGCTGCCCTCCATCGCCCTCCCGCGGCCCTCCCACACGCTACGATACGCGCGTTTACCCGGTGATGGAACACCTCCGCGGCTCCGCCTCAGATCCAACCTCCCACCAATCTGGAGGCATAGGAGCTAGGGTTTCAATCATCCGTGAGAAGGCGAGCTAGCGAAGACCGGCGGCAGATAGCCGGCACGGTGGCGGCGTGGGCACGGGGGAGCCCCTGCGGAGGCGCGGCCACACCCTGGCGGTGTGGGGGAGGGCGCGCGGCCACCCCCGGTGGTGCACGGGGAGGGCGGTGGCCACCCCGGCGGCGTGCGGGAGGCACGCGGCGAGCCCCCGCAGCACGCGGAAGGGCGGGGCTAGCCCCCGGCGGTGCTAGGAGGCGCCCCCCCCACCCTGCAAGGTACTCTCTACCGCATCATGAAAGAATATTTGAGAGATTTGGTACAGAAGATATTTGAGAGGCCTTGCAAGATTTGCTACGGAATATTTGAGAGGAGCAATTAAACCGGCTGTAAGTTGTCTTCTCCGTAGGTTAAAGCTTTCTATTTTTCACTTAAAATCTGATATGGGTATGCAGATGCATGTGCAGGGACGGGATGATGGAGCAATGTCCACCAACACGCCTTGCCGAGATTATAAGTCACTGTAGCCGGTAATCGAATCAAAGCCATTTTGCTGTAATACCTAGATGATGGATAATGTCCACCAGCACGACTTCCTCCATGTAATACCTACATGTGTTGGTAGGACCTTTCTACTCAATTTACATTATTGATCTTTTGTGCGAGTTAGTGACTTTTTAGATTGACGGTAATAGCTTGCTGTCCTGCAGAAGATATTCCAGCTGATGTCATTAATGGCAATTTTTTTTTTCAGATCCCATCCAGCAGATCTACAGAGTGGTCAAAAATGGCAGCGAGCAAGCAAGTGAAATGAAAGAAGAAACAAAGAGCTAAATGTCTTGTATGAGAAGTATACAGAGAGAAAGATTTATTCTTTGACTATAGGGTTCTCATGCAGAATCATATTTGAAATAATAATAAAAAATTATGTTTTATCAAAATGAATTTATCTCATTTTCCTTGTCTTCCTTTCACTCTTACTTGTAGGCCTTGAGATACTTGCATTCCCATGTAATAATCAATTTGCTGGTCAAGAGCCTAGCAGCAATGAAGATCACTAGCTCAAGATCACTAAGGTGAGACACGGCTTAGTTTCTCTCCTTTGCCTTGTGCTGCCCGCGTGGGGATTTTTTTTCCTAAAATTGATTGAACCAGTTTGTTACCCTTGTGTTTCGTGCTCTGAATGTTTAGTGCTGATGAGAGTTGATTCCAGTTGTGTGATGTGACATACTGACACGTGGACATGCTATGCAGTATCTTCAATTTCTGGGCAATAATTTGTTATGCAGTGGTGTTAAGGCCTTGTAGGATCCTAATTTTTCTCGATTCCTTTGCTAATTCGAAGCAGTTTGATGATGCCATACTCACTGTGCGGAAAAATTTTGCACGCTGTGTTGTTTGGTTTCTTTAGAATTTGACGAGAACAATGAAACACTCTGTTGTCTGCGTCATTTTGTTGGTCTCATTGGAAAATATTCAAATCATGAGTTAGGCTGTTATACTTTGTAGTAAATTAGTTTTTTCTTGTTTAGGTTAATACTTACTAGATGCTCTAAAGAGATTTCTACTTCTCCAAGCTGCGGGACATTGAGATCTTCTGCCAGAGCCCTGAGGTCGAGCACGTGCCGGTGAGTACTTGCCTTGCAGCTATCATCTGAAATCCTTTGTTCCTTGCAGCAAGTGTCAGGTTACAAGTACTAACTGAGTAACCAATACATACCTTGTATTTGATTTATTTTTGTGTACTTAAGTTATGATCAGTGCATATGAATTGATATCGTGACAACCTTATGAATATGAACATACACTATGATATTCACTGTGCCAAAACTGCAAAAAGAAGACACCTAATTCGGGGTATCTAACTGAAATCAATGCTGTCTAATGTGTGTGTTTTCTATATCAATGATTACTACAGTAAGAAGAATGTCAGCTCCGATATAAAAGTCATGTTAGTTTGTCAACTCATATAGAAAAAACTTGTTAGTGTTGTGCATCTTTACTTTTTGAGTCAAAACTATTTTTGAACTGTGAACAGTCGACCCTTCAAACTATTTTTTTACAGGACCTAATAAGTGTGATGTCGGTCTTGATGACCACACTATTTTGGTCAGCACCACAGATGCATTGTTTTGTACTTTTACTAAATCAACTGGAGGTTGTTTTGCTGCTGAGCAACTTGAGGTAGTCTTCACTGTAAGGTTGTCATCATCAAGTTTCATCAACAGTGGCAAGGCGCTCAACGACATCTTCACTATTAGATTCGGAATTAGAAGTAGAGTATAGCTGTTCATTAACATAAGTCAACGTATATATAAATTTTGTCTTAACCATGAGTAAGTCAATAGATATGACTTTGTATTGATTCCGTTTATGCTCTGTAGATATTTGATATCCAAATGGTGCTAAGACAACATGTTAAAGTAATCCTGATGCTCTTTCAACGTTCAAACTGCTTGATGTGGTCAGATGGCCGGTTACTTGCTATGTTGATTTTGTCGAGTTGATTAACTTGGTTCTTTCCTGCTGTTTTTGTTGTTTTCTGGATTATATACAATGCCATATAAAATTGCGTAAAACCTAAACTATACAAAAAAAAATCATTGTTTGGTTGTTTTCATGCATTCCTGAAATGAAGCTGTGGCGTTAGCATGGGCACTATACTAGTAGTTGTAGTTACCATGATTGAATGTTTCACCATCAGCATTGTTCAGCCCATACTGTGCCTCAAAGTCCATCTCTCCTTTTTCATTTATGTTGCCATCTTCATCTAGAGTCTGCTCAAAGAGCAAATCACCATTGAATCACAAAAATGTAGCTAAACAGAAAATTACAGAGTCAATGTTGCCAATTCATTTAGTTTTTTCAGGATAAAATCAGCTGCACAATAAAGAGCTGTTAAAGAAAATACTGCAGAATAGTTTAGAATATATAGTTCCCATCGATTCAGACACAAGTTCGAGAAAATAATCGACTCAGCCACACATCAGGATATAACTTATGAAACTTTATATTTCAATAATATCTTGTAATTAATCACAAACAAACAAGCATACCTTGTATAATTCGCCAAGAGCTCCCTCACTGACCTTTGAACCAAGTCCCTGTGAGAAGGACCATTGAATGTCAAATTTCAGCTAGTTTGCACACCAAGTTCAAAATGTACTGAGTGCCCACAGGACTCATTTTTTATGCATGTGACAGAGCACAAGTGACTTACCTTCCGTTTCAGCATGTTGTATGTCACTTCTGCTGGTGTTTCAGCAGGTTTTGAGCTCTTGGTGTCTTCATTGCGTCTTCGTTTCTATGATTGAAATATCCACGGATGGTCATACAACTCAGCTTAAAACGGTAAGCAAATGTGATGTACACAGGAAGTTTGATTGCACAAAGGCATTTCTTACTTTCTTTGCCTCTTGCACAACACCTCTAGCTGCCAAAGCTTCTTTCGCTGCTTGTTCCTGTAAACCAAACAGCAGGTAGTAGCATCCTCTGGTCAAGATGAGAAAATGTGTCAGTTTTCATTACCTGAAGGTACTCTCTGTTCATTTCCTCCCAGAATATTTTTACATTGTGTTTCTTCCTCATTGTGAAGGTACCAATCAACCTACAAAATTAGAAGATAGCGTTACAGCAAATTGCAAACGCTTGTTTGGTCATCACTCCACCTCTAGCTAATAGTGCCATAGATAAATCCTGAAAAATATGATTAAAAGGATTCACTGAAAAAGCATCCTTACATCGTTAATATCAGAAAGGCTTTCTGTTTCAACATCACCTTCACAATTTTCACCTAAAGATGCAATCAGCTTAAAAAGATTCAAACAGAAAAACAGCATTATAGCTGAGTATGATGGTTCAGAAAGTAACAAACCTCCCCCTTCAGGATCCTTGGATAGTACAGAGTCATTTAGTTCCTCAGATGCAATAGTTGAAGATTTATCTCCTCTTATACCCTGTTGGATGTGAGTTCCCAGAGAAAATAATAAGGGGTGAAATGAGCAAACAACGTGTTTAACAAAAAATGCTAATGGAAGAAATAACATGGGACAATGCCGCATATCCCAAAATTCAGCAACGAAAATAGATTTTGCACCATTTGATGATTACAGCGGGGAAGCGCTCCGTATACTACTATTCATTACAACAATGTTGTTGCTTGGAGTATAAAACTCTAAATGGTCCAAAGCTACCTTGTGGTGCCAAATTCAGGGTAAATATTTAGTAGAAACCATGACCTGGGCAGAAAAATGAAAACCACTTCACAGAACACAAGCAAAGTTTAAAAATTATCACGTGCAGAGGACATGACAACTTTCTATACAAAACTCCATTTCTTTTGTGATATGTGAAATTGACAAACAGTGAAGAAAAGGTGAACAATTCAGTGCGAGAACTAGGTATACTGATTATTTTTTTGCTTTTGCTTTTTCTTTGTTCTTTGCTTTCTCATGAAAAAAATTGAGTTTGACCTTGCCAATGCTCTCCTGAATATGGTAACTTTTTTAGGAACTGTTCCAAACTTCTACATATGTTTCACAGGGCGATTTTCACATAACCACCTATAATTGTTACCCCCACTAACCCTTTTGAAAGGACAAAACTGTTTTAGTTGTAAAGTTTATTTTTACATTGCTGACAGCAGTAGACAAGAGCATGACTTGAATGGAATAGGGGGGACTTCTACTACCCATATGCACGGGAGATGACCGTTGGGGGCGACTCCGCGGAGCCCCCAGATCCGGTCAGGTCCCCGCAGGTGGCTCTCTCCTGTCCGGCATCCTTCGCTCCGGTGCCTGCTGCGGGGCAGACGCCTCCCTCGGTGCCGGATGTGCGTGCGCCAGTCAGCGCCGGAGCCCGGGGTGAGGCGGCTCGCCCAGCGGAAGTGGATCGGCATGCTCCTGGCGGGCCCGCAGCCGACACCAGCAGCGAGCTCGCAGCGCGGGAGGCCCCGGACCCGGCCCTCGACGGTGGCCTCCGCGAAGGCCAGGCGCTAGAGCGCGACGTCCACCCCGGGCTCGCGGCAGGGGCAGGTGGAAGTCAAGCCTTTGGTCGGGAAGGAGTCACACCTTCGGAGGGCAGCCGGCGGCCTCTGTCGGCCGAGCCGTTCGTCGCGGCCCCTCGCCCGCCGAAGCCGGCTGATGCCGCCGCGCCCACCCTGCAACCGGGCGGGGTCGGATCTGGGGCCCCACGGCGGCCTGACCCTACCCACCCGCGTACGGAGGCCGCTGCAGGGGAGCGTGCGGCTAAACCGCCGCCGTCGCTCGTCAAGGACCTCGGAGGAGACCACCGGCTGGCCGCCGCAGCCAACGCGGCCACCTCCTCCACCGGCACCTCATCGACCCCTCCGACGCCGGGGCCAGTCACAGACAGCCCGCTGCCGTGCGTGGGGGCCAGACCTGCGTCGGACAGCGACCCGTCGAGCCCTTGCCGGCCGCAGGCAGCCGCGGCGCCGCCGGACTCCACCAGCCCCTCCTCGCTCTCGCCGGATGCGGCCCCGTTCTACCCAGGTCGCTCCTCCGGAGGGCACACGAAGAGTTGCCGGTGGGCGGACGACGACAGTGAGGAGTCTGACGACGACAAACCCACAACCTACCTCGTCCAGCAGTGGTTGGGGGCCGGGGCAGTGCGGACACTGGACGGCAGGGACATGGGCGAAAGCCGAGGAGACGCAGCCGGCCGTACCCCAGCTGCTGCACGGCTTGCCTGCTCGGCCTATGGATGGCCGCGTCCCCCGCCCGCCAACGCCTTGGACGTCGCGGACGGATCTCCGCCCCAATGCCAATGGGTGGTGTGAGATCCTCCAACGGCAGAGATACAACCTGCGGCCGCCTCCGAGAAGCGGCTTCCACAGGCCCGAAGATCCCGCAGATGTTTCAACTGCCTTTCCTACTCACTGAGTAGCGACTTGCCGGTTACCACGGCATTGTCTGCGCTGTCACGGCTACCGTCACCTCGCTAGGGACTGCAAGAGGCCCGGGCATGCCTCGGCGACGACGTCGGCGGCAGTGGGTGGCGGCCCACGACCCTCCCTGCACGCGCCACACGGTGGCTCGGACAGAGCCGCGCAGGAGGCTGTGGGGGGCACCAACAACATCCGTCGAGGACGCCGGCGGCGCCGGAGCGAGCTGCCGAGGGAGATCAACATCATCGCGACTGCTTACTACGCCGACAACGCCGCTACTTCTATTGCCGCACGCTGCTCCCCCGAGTCAGATCTGCTCACGGTGGCGCTGTGCGAGGGCGTTGGGCCTCCCGCATGGGTCGACCCGATTCTCGATGAGCTCGCTGCCTCACTTGTCGTGAGTCGGTCAGCGGGTGCTCAAGCGTTTGGGCGCCCATCTACTCTGACATCTGCCTCTCTGGAGGTTCAGGCATTTTTGGCGGACACCTATTCGCCACAACGGATGGTTCAGCTCAGCTTCGCAAATGCTGAGGCGCCGGGGGTGGATGGTGAGGATCGGCCACCTACCTCTATGCTGACGCGGGACCGGCAACCGGATGACGATGACGTTTCTCCTTCGGCCCTCGCTAGGGAGTTTGCTAGGCACGTCTCCGCCCCGCTGAAGACTCCCATCCTCAAGGCGCCACCCCGACGTCGACCTCGTCGCTCTCCATGTTTGGTCACCATCCGCCGTAGCATGCATCTGGCGGCAAAGTGTGCCTCTCGGGCCCCTAACGCCACCCTTCAAGCGCAGAAGGTGCTTTGTGTCTAAGTGGGAACCCACCGCCTCACAGCCGTCGGATACCCAGGTAGTGGCAGACTTCCAGCAAACATTTCAGGGCCCGCTCGACTCAAGAAAAGGGCCGCACTTCGAGCGCTTATGAAGTTCAACCTTGCGGGGTTCGAGTGTATGTTCGAGGAGGCTTGCTAGTCTCGTTGGCACCTGCCCAATTGGTTGCAAAACTTCCATGTAACGTAATTTAAGTTAGGTTTATTTGGGTCGCGTTGGCTTCCATCCTTCCACGGTAATCTATAGATTACTTGGGGATGTCGTAACCAGTCAAACACTTTCTGCTTAATGAAATACGTGTCACAAGGACACGCTCTCGAAAAAAAAATGGAATAGGGGGCTGCAGGATTTGTTGCCTAGGCAAGATGCACTTTAAGAATGGAATAGGGGGCTGCAGGATTTGTTGCCTAGGCAAGATGCACTTTAAGAATACTGGACAGCATGTTTATCACGGCTTGCTTCTGAGCTTGGCAGAAAAACATACTGAACAAGGATACCAACTTTACTTACCATGGTATGAGCATTCCTCTGTACAGTAGCTATTACCTCTTTAGGAGTTATGGTGTTCTCAACATTAGAGTTCTGTGTGTCACAAAGCGATTCTTCCACTGCTGCCTCCTTAACTGCAGCCGCTTCTTCAGCTCTTTTAGCAGCTTCAAATCTTTGCTTTTCAGCTCGTTGGAATGCTGGAGGGTCTGCACCTTCTAGTCCACCCGATAGTTTAATGAACTGGACAATCAGACAAAGTGTCAAAAGAAAATGAAACTCTGCAAGTCAATGTGGTATGCGCATATAGTAGACGTGTCTACCTTATTGTAGCATTTTTCACAAAGTCCATGAGCAAAATGTTCCTTGTGCTTGCAAAGCATTTCTCCAGACATGGGTGAACGTTTTGAAACAGGCTCTTGATTATATTCATCAGCTGTCGCCAGAAATTCTTCAATCTAAAAAGATGTTGGTGATAACGTACATTAAGAATGACAACATAAGTAATCAATGTGTTCTTGATAGGGGATTCAGTGTTATTGCCTGCCAAGGTTGGTACTTGTGTATTACACCATGATAAGTTATTGCCTTCCCACATGTACCACAGCATCTGATTGTCAAACATGTCAGTTGATGTACCAATAAACAAGCACACGAGCTAAAATTGCTTTATGAAAATCTAATGGACAGCAATTAACAGAGTGGTAAGCAAAGCAAGGTCATGTTCATAACAAAAAAACTGACAGGTTTTGCATTGTATATACCGTTATATACAAAGAACAGGGAGAGCTCACATGTATCCTTTGTCAGGAACCTTTATGGTGGGGCAGTTATCAAGACAGTGATCGCAGTAAACCATTGCTGAAGGATACTATACAGCCAATGATGATCAGCAGCTCACATCAACCTGTGAAATTTTGAATGAATTTCTTGCTCAGTTCCAAGCAAGCACATATGAATTTGTGTAAAATACCTGCATATTGAGAAAAAAGGGTTTGGGATCCATGTTCCCCCCACTTTGCTCCCACTTATCTTCCACGAATCAAAGGCTTTGACGGCCGACCATGTTATATGTTACTCAATTCCCCACTTCCCCATATCCAGGGGCGTGCCCAGTGGCCAGTACAGGACATGGCTCGTGGGTGTAACTAATTGACGAGAACTGGATCCAATTCTCATCTGCCGAAATCGAGAAGAATCTAACTTCCCCTAGGTCGTCCAATTGAACATGGAGAATACGGGAATTTAGGTCCGGTGTTGGAGTCGCAAACCTGACGAAACCTGAAACCTGGCCCTGTGCTGCGTGTGTTCTAGACGGATTGCTGGTTCACGCCACGCCTCCGGCCGCTGTGATCACCACCACGCTGGCCTGAAGCCTTGCCGCTTCCGCCGCAGCAGGTAGCAGGCAGCAGCGCCAGCAAGCCGCGCGAAACTCGCCGCGGCGGTTGCCGCTTGCCGGTGGCTCCTCGCTCGGCTCTGCCTGCTTGTTTCGCAGGAGTTGCGTGCACCCGCCGACGGAGACGGAAGCAGAGGGTTTTAGTAAGAGGCCGTGCTGGGCCTGTAGTTGCCAAGCCGGCCCACTCCGCGTACAGGCTAAGAGCCCAATCGGGTAGAGTAGTTTGATCCAGAACGGCTCGACTGTTGTGGGGGACTGGATTCGAGCCCATTTACCGAGTCGGACAACAGATAAAAAACGATTTTTTCCCTTAAAAAAAGATAAATAGCGATTTTTCATTTTTCATCACCAATAAAAAAATCTCACAAATTAAAGCGACGGAATTTCTCTTCTTAAACATTCATAATTTTTCCATGTGAGTAAGATGGAGATAAAATTCCACTTCTCCTATACTTTAGAAGCCTCATTTCTAGGCAACATGTAATTTTGTCATTGTTTGACTATAGAAAAAAGTATAAATTATCTCCTGTGAGTTGTCCTTTTAGTTGTTTAGGCATTGAAATGTTGCAACTCCCATAAAATTCACATGAAAATTGTGGACCAAGTCTACAACCTTAATTGTACTTCACAACCTTTCTGTTTGAATTCATATTGACGCTGAACAATCGACGCAATAGGTACAAATATGAACATTTTATCAATTATATTTTCAGCACCAAGACGGTTTCAAACGAAAAGGTTGTGAGCTATATAAAGTTCTATGACCTCTTTTTTTTCCGAAAAGCCATCGACAAGAGCATACCGAGCATATATTGATAGAGAAAGAGAGTATTATAACCTCGTATAAATATGAAATCATAAAGAAATTAAAGTTAAGATTTTATAGATGTATAAGCTTTTGTATTCCAAATATCCATGCCTTTGCACGAGGATTTCATTACACACGTAGATGCATGCATTGCATTTCACACTGTCACACGCACACAAGCAAGCAATTGCTATTCTGATGTTCCAGTGTTATTGGCACCACCAGGACCTATATAGGCAGCTTTATTCCTCTCACGCACAGCGGCACAGGACGTCTCTATCTCTTGCATGGTCGCTTGCCCAGCGTAGGAGTTGACCTTGGAGCAGGTGACCCTTATCTGGCCCTGGGACCCTGTCTTGGGGCCATGTTCCCATGCCCATCGCGAAGGCGCTGCTTAAGGCAGACGCGCTGGACGCGAAGCTCCTGACATCGGTGCTGCCGCCGTTGAACAGCTGCTGGTCGGAGTGCAGCAGCCCCTTCTACGACAGCAGGTTGCTGAAGTAGGCGTTGTCGAAGGCGGTGAGTGACGCCGCGTCCAGCGGCACCAGCATGGAGTCGCCGCTGCCGTTGGCCCAGGGGCAGTTGGCCTGCAGCGACGCCGCGAACGTGGAGTTGATGTTGGTGTCATTGTAGATGTGGTCGCGGAAGAAGCGGCACTGCGCCTGCCCGATCGTGTGCCCCCCTGCAATGCAAATCCGACATGCATCATTGCATTGCTTGTGTTCTCCTCTCGTCAGAGTACGTCCTCGTGCAGGCAGACGTATGAATGAATGGTAGGCATCCTACAGACCCGAGAGAGCAACCATGTCGGTGACGCTGAGGTTCTTGTTTGCAAATGACTGGGTGAGGTTGGCGATGAAGGATGGAGCCGGCAGGTCCCGTTCTGCATTGTCCTTGCTTGCAGTGGTGGAGTCCCTTCTTCCTAGAAGAACAGTCCATGACGGCCCTCCCAGCTGCATGCAGAATTGCAGATCGAGTTCCAGTAAACCTCTATCGATCATCCTAGCTATGCACACAAGTACTAGCTATCTATCATGCATATAAAAACTTACCGCCACGACGGAGTCACAGGCAGCGACGGCGAGGATGTCAGCGCAGGAGACGGTCTGGTTGCACACGGCCTCCACCTGCGTCTTGATGTTGTCGATGACACTGAAGCCTCTCAGCGAGTTCTTATTCGGGATCGCCCCCTGCTCGCCGGTGAAGCTCCCTGTGTCCGCCAGCAGAACAGATGCGTCGCAGCCCTGCAGTCACACCACACGTAGTGAAATCTGGTCACATGCATAATCCACGTACTACGTGTGACTGCAACTTTTCAAAGATCCATGCGAGAGCGAGAGTCTCGAGACTTGCATCGACGAAGCAGTCGTGGAAGTGCAGCCTGAGCAGGGACGCCCCCATGCGCGCCTCGTTGTTTACCGCGGCCGTCACCGTGCTCTTGATTGTGTGGCCAGAGCCTTGGGGCACGCGACGTGTCGTAGAACGTCGACGACAGCTGGGCGGTGGCCGCCGTGGCCAGCGCCAAGATCGCGACCACCAGCAAGCTGAGGCGAGAAGCCGACTCCATCATCGATCAGACTGTGTTTGTTTTGTTTACACCTACACCTACACAGATCAAAGCAACAATATGTCTAGCTTGTCTCTCTGTATGACTAATTACCTACAGACCAAAGCGCAGCTATATATATATATGGTTACAGATTTGGCGCCAATTCATCATCAGTGTAATAGTTAAGTGCAATCTATCACTCCACTCCACTGTGGCAACGAACAGCACCCATCCAAAATTGGCGCCTAACTTGTCTAGAAAAAATCGTGAGTTCTGACCAAAATTCGTGCAAAATGGGCCACGCGAGATGCGATTCGATTCGATTAGTAGTTCAGAACGCACGAACGGACGAACGAACCCTAGGACGGGCCAAGAGAGTCACACAGGTCCGGTTAAACTATTGCTGCCACTCCCCACCTACGCCAACTCAGCTAGAGCATTGTAGTAGAACAGTCTCTGAAAGTTCATCCTGCATGCGTTGCTCGAGGAAGAATATTCAAACAAATGTCACTGTCATATAAAAAATAATCGCAGTCTTGGAGTGGAACAGTATCTGAAAGTGTCCTCCATGGTCACCAAAGACATGCGGGCAAGTGGCATAGTGGGACTGTACGAGTACGACAACAAGCTAGTAGTAGCCTAGTACACTGCGCTCCATACGCATCCGCACATTGCTGCGCATATAGTTGTGGGAAATGAACACATGCGTGCAGTGTGCTCATCAGCCTCTCTTATTTTTAGTGAGAGTATCTGTACTCAATAACTGGCCACTGACGTGGAGTTCAGCTAGATAAATTACAATAAGGCAACATTATTCTGTTCGGTTACTAAATTGAAACTGCAAGCACACCAATTCAGCTAGTTCATATGTCAATTCAGTTCAGGATCTTAGCAGTATATATAACAAATGCATTTGTAGCCTGCAGGACGCCGTTTTCGTCGTAAGCTGGCCAAAAGCCTCCAAAGTCTTTCATGCTCCATGTCTTCTTGTGTGGAAATTTTGCACTAGTGGACGAGACAGGGAGAAAGGATCTATCGACGTCGATGGCACGTACTGATTTCGCCAAGAGGCCGGTCAGCATTCGTCCAAGACACTTCCATCTTGCTCTGACCGTTGTGCAGTCATTTCACACTTGCTGAAAACGCCTTCTAGCTGCATGCCTTGGCCCCGACAAGATTAGCCCATCGATCCAGATGTTGACGAGATACTAGTCTTTCTTTCGAACACTTCCCTGTCCTCAGGCTCCAGCTAGCAGCGACGGTGGCCTCAGCCTAACTGATACTGTAGGAGCCAGCCTCTTTTTTTTTCCCTTCTTTTTTTCTTTTTGATGAATAAGGTATCTTCAGATTTTTCCTATGTAGGGTATGGAAACTGACAGCATGAACTGTTATTTGCCCCAATGTTAGCACACGGTTTACATGTACTTTGGCGCTAATTTAGGGCATATGCAGTGTGGCGTCGAACCATGCTGTGGACGAGAAGCGAATGGAAACAGAGTCCAGCACATAACTTAGAATCTTACGTCACATAATGCTCTCGGCTCTCGCCGCCTCACCACACCACCCTCAAACCGCCGCAACCGCCGGGTTTGCATACAGACCCTCGACCTGTTTTTAAGTCCGGCCATGAAGCTCCTTCCCCGGTAACCTTCCTCTCCTAACTCCAGCCACCGATTCAGATGTTCGGTGATTTGAGCGTTTCCTGAAATTGACGTCAATTTGGAGCATATGATGAACTATAGGAAATGTGGAAACATATATATAGCTAGGGAAAGTGATAGTGTGATAGTAGTACTTATACTTAATTATTAATCTCCCAATGCCTTTGCATGAGAGGTCCTCGTTACATATATATGTAGATCGATACACGGCAATGAGTACGGTCTCTCTCCGTTCCATACACTTGATATGGAACAAGAAATCGAGGTGGCGTACGTACATCACTCGTTATACATACTCCTACATACATGTATGTATCCTTGTTGGGAGAATGGTAGTCCATGCACGATTGCACGATCTTATTCGCTATGCGGAATGCGGGGGTAATACGCGCTGGTCGTAGCACATTGCCATACTTTGCAGGAGCTGCTGCCAACGTCATCGTCGTCCGTCTTAATTAGGAGGAGTTCACGATCCCGCAGGCGAGCCTGATCTCCCCATTGGTTCCGGTGAGTGGGCTGAGGTTCCCCATCTTCACCATCGCCGACGTGAAGGCGCTGGTGAAGGCCGATGTGCTGGACGCGAAGTTGCTGACCGTGCTGTCGGTGCTGCCGTTGTTGAAGAGCTCCTGGTCCGAGTGCAGGAGCCCCTTCTGCGACAGAAGGTTGGTGTAGTAGTCGTTGTCGAATGTGGTGGGGGTCATGGTGTCCAGCGGCGCTAGGCTGGTGCCGCCGGACATGGGGCAGTTGGCCTGGAGCGACGTGGCGAAGGCGGCGTTGATGTTGGTGTCGTTGTAGATGTGGTCTTTGAAGTTCGTGCACTGCGCCTGTCCGATGGTGTGAGCTCCTGCAAAGTGCAATGCGCGCGTCGTCGTCAGACTGCAACCAAAGATTCAATTCAAAGGTATGTATGCATTATAGCTAGAGCATGCATATGCACCTGAGAGAGCAACCATGTCGGTTGCGTCGAGGTTCTTGTTGCTGAACGCAGATAACAGTTGTTGGAGGCTATTTGTAGGAGCTGGGAGGTCGGTTGTCTCGTTCGGGAATGAAGCGGTCGAATCCCTTCTCCCCAGTAGAACGGTCCACGAAGGCCCGCCGAGCTGGGCAGGAGTTCCAAACCAACAACTAGCAAGTCAGCAACCACGGAAACAGGGTGGCTGCTGGAACTGGAATGGAATATGCTTACGCATAGGGATCTATCTCACCGCGACGACGGAGTCGCGGGCGGCGACGGCGAGGATGTCGGCGCAGGAGACGACCCCCGGGCACACCGCCTCCACCTGCGCCTTGATGTTGTCGACGACATCGAAGCGCCTCAGCGATCCCTTGTTCGGAGGCGAGCTCTGCTCCCCGGACGTGTCGTTGAGCAGAACGGATGCATCGCAGCCCTGCAGTGAGGTTTACATACAAATTTCTAGTTAGCTGCTTGTACCTGTGTGTATATATATTTACTGCTGCCAACGTACTACTCCTATATATATAAAGATAAACTTTAGTTAATTTGGATAATAATATCTCGATCGACTTATCACTTATGTTAGAAAACAGAAGAATAGGAAGAGATGAGCGAGTGTCGCTCTGCATCTGAGACTTGCATGCACAAAGCAGTCGTGGAAGTGCATCCTGAGCAGCGACGCCCCCGTGCGCGCCTCCTGCATCACCGCCGCGTCCACGGCGCTCTTGATGGTGGACAGCGCGTTCGGGCACGACGTGTCGTAGAACGTCGATGACAGCTGCGCCGACGCCGCCGAGGCCAGCGCCGCTAGCACCACCAACAGGCAAGAAGCAGAGGCAGCCATGGCTATGCTTTGCTTTCTCGGTAGCTACACACACTAGCTAGCCCCCAGCTGCTTTTGCTTCTGCTAGCTCGTTGGCTGTGTGATTGTGGTGTGCAAAGGCGATGCTCTACTCCATGCATATTTATAGGGCCCACCGGTGACTGCATGCCACTAGGGGACCAGAAAACATCCAAATCGGACGCCAAACTTCGTCCATGTTTAGTCTCCCAAAGGTATTTTTTTTATTTTTAACACTTTTTTTAAACTAATTTTAAATTTAACACTGTTAATTTTTTTTTTCAAAACTAACACTTTTGGCCGCGCCTATTTCCCTGGCGCGGCGAAACACCTATGCCACACCATGCATGGTGGCGCGGCGAGAGGGTTGACGTGGCGACGACCGGGACGCTGATCGGTGACGTGCCAGGGTCTGCCGCGCCACCGATCAGGGCGCGGCAGAGCCATGTAAATACCGCCGCGCCCGCCTGCGCCTGCCGGCTTCCGCGCCTGGCCGCTTGCCTGCCGCGCCGCGCCTACCCACCCGCGTGCCCACCGCCGCGCTTGCCACCGGCCGCGGCCGCACGCCGCCCGCCGCGTCGGCCTCGCCACATACTATTGATTTGATGCTAATAACATAAATTACACGATACTATTTTAAAATACATGGAAAACATGCAAGATATATATGTCAGCCAACCGTATTCGAAATAATTTCACTCAATTTTGTTCGTTTTAGAAATTCTCAACGCATTAGCTATTATTAAAAAAAATTGGATGCATCGGAGAGCAACAAACATATGGGGCGGAGGGTGACAAACAGATGGGATCACTTAAGATCGACCATGGGTAATCCGAGTACATGATACATAGGTACAATACATCAATAGTTCAAAAGGAAAACAAGACAACACAATGAAAGTTCTAGTACAAAGCTACATTGATCATTAATAAAGCATGGAACTAACAAACGGCGCAATCAAAAACCCTTAGTCAGAAGTATACTGAGTAAGCAACTCATCGTCCAAGTACCAATCCTCTATCACAACCCTGTGGCTAGGGTCACCTGCATTGCCCTGATCTGCCTTTCGCCTGTAGTAAGCGGCCTCCGCTTCATCTGCGGCCTCTGCGGCCTGAGTGAAGAACGCGCCATCATCCTCCTCCGCCTGCAAGCCCGCCTCTGCTAGAGCGATGAGCTCGCTCAGTCTGCCAGTGTCGTCCTCAGCCTCCTCCACCTGCAAGCCCGTCTTTGCTAGAGCGATGAGCTCGCTGAGTATGCTAGTGTCGTCCTCAGCCTCCTCCGCCTGCAAGCCCGTCTTTGCTAGAGCGATGAGCTCGCTCAGTCTGGCAGTGTCGTCCTCATCCTCGCCCCCCTCATCAGACAACACAATCGGTGATTAAACGGTGCGACCAACTCGCGTTCTGTGCTCATCTAACTTCTTTTCCTTATACCTTGCACGAGCCACCTCTCCGTCATGGTCCCCGCTGCATCCAATTCCTTCATGTATAAAATGTAATCAGTTAGCAACGCGATTATATTACATTTAAAATCAGACAACGAAAATAATGGCTTTCAAGCACTCACTGGCACATAATGCAACAACATGCTCGTTCAAGACTTGCATCTGTACTCTTGTCTCCTCTCTTGCCTCCTTGCTTGCTCTCTCCTCCTCTAACACCCTCCGTCTCTCCAATCTCCATTTGTCAGCCTAACATCGATCGGGTTACGAATACCGCGCTGTCTAGCAAACTCACGTATCTTGTCTTTGTGATGTTTAACGAATAGGCTGACGTAGTCAGGTCTATATCCCCTCTTCCGTGCAATTACTTGTCTCCCCTTCAGTTTATCCAAGAACTTAGTTTGACCATCATAACATTCTCACCAGCATTTCCTAGTGCTCTGTTTAAACGAAAAATTATATCATATATGTCTTAGCAAAAGAAACAAAATACGATTTTATTTTTACCACAAAAATAACCAACCTTATCATAGTCAACCATATGGCCGCAATAATAGCATATTTCAAGCTCCGAAGGGACTAGGCCATAGTTGGATTTAACACCACATTCGCACATGACAGGAGGTGCTTTGTAAATGACCCTTTCTTTCTTCTTTTTCTTAACCTTTGGCGGTTCTTCCGGCCATTGGTTCTTAGGACCATACAACCACTCCTTGAAACGACCCTTCTCCATTGAAAACACCTAAATAAGGTGATATTAGTACATGAACACATATAGCTCAACATTTCAACACATACACTTTGCACTTACTTCATGCTTGTTTGGACACACAAACTCCAACGTATTCTCAGGGTTTATCACAGCTCAATCTCCGCAATCGCACAAAGAAGGTTCCTCGAGTCGTATAACTACGGCTAAGTGCTTCTCCTTAGCCGTCATTGGAGCGGGGTTAGGGGGAGGTGGAACCCACCGCTCGAAGTGCTATCGTGGATGTCGCCCTCTCCACCAATCGTCGAAAAGGAGGTAACTATGGTCAAACTTATCTGCACCGTCGATCCACTGAAAGAAAAAGCACCTCTCATGGGCCTACACAATAAAATTACAACAAAATATTAGTAACCGAGTAATACAAATGAAGGAAAAAATATACGGAAACAATTACTTACATTAAAACGACTACATGTGTAGAAGCAACGAGCCGCTGTGTTCAGATATCTCAATTCAAACACGTCGCCCCGACAACCACAGTCACAGTTAGGGACAGGGAGGTCAGGAGGGACAGGGACATCTTTGCTAGGCTCGTCAGGGTATAATTCTCTAGAACAACCCCGTTTTCACCACAACTGCTCTCAAAACATGTCTTCCATCTAATAAAACGGTTCAAATTAAACATCAATCAAAACAACACAAATTAATATAAAATATAATCATTTGCATTGCAACTCAAATAATATAACCAACACTTATAGCAACAAAAATATACGTGGTAAATATATTTCTAACTAAATAATTAACCTTAACATTGACAAAATCAAACTAATATCTTCCTCCAAACCATAGCCCATAGTTCCCAAACATAATTTTCCTCCTAACCTTAACTTTCATTCATAATATTTCAATCTACCATTCAAACGAAAATAAAAAGTGTGTCATTACCTTAAACGAGGACGAGGAGGGAGGAAGCCGGCCAGGAAATGGAAGGGAAGGGAGGGAGGGAGGCGACAACAGAGGGCTGGGCGGCGACAGCACTTGGGAGTGGTGGACAGGCGGGGCGACAGGCAGGCGCGGTGGGCGCGAAGGCACGGTGAACAGGCGGCCAGGCGCGGCAGGCAGGCGGGACTGGGCCGCGGGCCTTTATCCAGCTCTGCCACGCCACCGATCAGCGCCCCGGCCGTCGCCACGTCATCTCTCTCGCCGTGCCACCATGCATGGCGCGGCACTGGCGTTTCGCCGCGCCAGGGAAATAGACGCTGCCAAAAGTATTAGTTTTGAAGAAAAAATTAAACAGTATTAGATTTAAAATTAGTTTACAAAAAATATTAAAAAAAATTCCGAAAGCCAGCAACCATTTTCGTCACGCAGTGCCGCTAGCCACTCGACCCAGCACACAGTGTTGACCAGTATCTGAATTGTGTTACATTGGCATAAATAGAAGAGAATTTATGTTCGGCTGAGATTCATCATGAGCTAGCGCAGTTTTTTGTGCAAGCATCCAACACAAAGGGCGCGCGACGAAAAGTATGCGCGAGCCATACATACTGACAAGATTAGCGGACGTTGAGCAGATACTGGTGTGTTTCTTTTGAACTTCCCTGTCAGCTCCAGCTGGCCGCTGATGCATGACCTCAATCTTTAACCTAGCATCGTCAAGAGTTCCCAATAAAGCTTTCAGGATTTTTGGTAAGAATAAAAAAAGCTCATCTCCAACTGCTCTCAATCTTTCCGCACTTGGAAAAATACACCGATCGCATGGTATATCCGCGCGTGGGAGACGCGCGTATCCATGTGCCAATCTAAGGGTGGAAGGACGTGGGAAAAAAATGATAGAAATGGTTCTGGATGCAAATGTATAAGAGAGAAATAATATATAAAAGTGATTATGATAATTTAAAAATAGTACATGATTTCTGATGTAAAATTGTCTTCTATATTTTAGGAGTGAATTATCGAAAACTGTTGAAGATGGTCTTATTTATTCCTCCCAATAATTTTTGGTGAGTTAGAAAACTCCATGGTTTTGCGAAAAAATGCTGGGAACTCTTGGAGATGCTCCAAAATATATAACTGATAACCTTTTTATATATTTTCTTTTGAAAAGATAGCTTTAATTTATATGCTTTGTTATATATGTTGGCGCTACTTTAGGAAGACTAACACGAAATTTTCCTTTTCCTAATCTTAATCTACTAATTGAAGACCTCCAACTCTCCAAGAGATCATCCACGATTCCACGTTGTTCCTCACTGGGCGCATTAGAGAAAAAGATAAATTTTAAGATTTTTTCACAATAACCAGAAATATATGACCTTTAATTTGATTAACTCTAAATCTCTAATCATCTTTACCAATAATAACAATTGGATTTATTATGTTTTCTAAAAAATTACTCACATATGTCATTATTATGAAAGCACATAACCCAACTCCTAAATTTGTATCTAAATTACTAGGCTGCGTGAGTTTTTTTTAGAAATTGCGGTGACAGAAGGGGAGTGGATAGGAATGGATAGAAACAAATAGGAGAGGCTTCTAGATGTCGGAGGCCCACCAACGGGGCGCCAGGACGGACGCCTGTTTCCTAGCATTACCGATATATCTAAGAAGAAAGCGCATACACACCAGTTGATCAACATACGTATAAATACACTAGCAAACATGATCCTGCATTGCATGTGCCTGTATACGCGTATAAATACACCAGTTGATACATCTAAGAAGAAAGCTCGTTTTAGAACTGGACTTTGTCATGTGCCTGTATACACGTTGCTCTAACTCGTATGGCCAGGTGATGCCTGGAGATTTATGCAATGAGCGCATTATGCACTCTAATTCATCTCTTAGGA